TCCCAAGTAGCTGGGACTACAGGCATGCAACACCATGCCCGGCTAATTTTTTGTATATATATTTTTAGTTGGTCAATTAATTTCTTTCTATTTTTAGTAGAGACGGGGTCTCGCTCAGGATGGTTTCGAACTCCCAACCTCGAGCAATCCGTCCGCCTCGGCCTCCCAGAGTGCTAGGATTACAGGCGTGAGCCACCGCGCCCAGCCGATGTCTATTTTTTGATCTGTCAAGGGGGCCACGGGGCTAGTCACTACTGAATGTGTAGTCCTGGTGCCCACAGGGAATTGGATGTCTCTGCCCCCTACATTCATCCTGACCATGGGCTCCTCGGGGGCAGGTGTGGAGCCTGGCGTCACTTAGTCCTCCAACAGAAAAGTCTGGATTGCATAGAGGAGGAACTCAGGGTTTTCTCCATGAGGCCTCTATGGCTATTGTTTCTGATTCTTTCAGTTTTGGATATATTTTTTTCCAGTATCTAGTCTTTTCACAAAAGGCACACTGATTTCTTTGTAACTCAGTTTGGTTCCTGGTTTCCCTCATCCCTGGTTTCCCTGTCAGATTTGCCTTTGGTGGGTTCCCAAGGTTCCCTGTAAGGCAGCAGTGCACAGGTCAGCCTTTTTTCTTATTTTTCTCTCGGCCTCCCTCTCTCTTCTGCTCAACATCTCTGTTCACAAAGACCTTGTTTGCGACCTCTAAGAGCTGAGTGGCATTCATCCCAGCAAACCCTTCTAGCTTCTGGAGCTTGTGGCATATGTCACCTGCACTCTGACTCACGAAAGCAATGTTGATCATTAGCCAATTTTCGGGGTCAAGGGGAGTTTATGTTCGATAGGCCTCACACAGTCTCTCATAGAAGGATCCGGACTCTCATCTGGCCTCTGTAGTATCTCAGTGACCTTGGCTACGTTTGTGGCCTGATGCCCTGCTTTGCGGATGCCTTGTAAGAGGGCCTCCCTACAGGCCACGAGCTATCTCATGTCATCAGAATTGTTTGGGTCCCAACTTGGCTCTTTTGCTGGGGGTCGTCTCTGAGCATAAGCCTCGGGGTTTAGGGTCCCCACAGGGGCATTTTCTTCTACCCACTTAGTGGCAGCCTGTAAGATATGCTGCCGTTCATCTGTGTTAAAAAGGGTCAGAAGGAGCTGTCTGCAGTCCACCCATGTTGGGTTATGGGTTTGGAAGATAGACTACACCAAATCTATCATCCCCTGGGGTCTCTCAGTATAGGATGGGGTGTGATGTTTTAAATTCAACAGATCAGTAGTTGTGAAGGGTTGATAAACCAAGGTGTGGTGACCTAGTTGAATCTGACTGTCTTCTCCCACCTGTCCGGGACCTCTGACCTCCCTCAAGGGATATTGACCTTGCAGATTGACTCCTGGGGTGTAGGGTGAGAGTACTGGTGGACTAGGGGGTTCCTCTGGGAGGAGGCGTCAGCATCAGTAGTCTCAAGCCATCGCCAGTAGAGAAGGGCAGAGTTTCTGGACTTAAGGAAGACTGTTCCCCAGGCCCCTCAGGGCTCTTGACTGCTATGCCGTCTGCTATGCCAGTGGAGTATGCTTGGACTATAAAGCTGACAGGTGTGAAGTGATCCTTTGAGTTCAAGAGGAAAGGGATAATACCACCTGCTGTTTGCTGCTTCAGTTTTCCTCTTATAGTACCATCATTGTAATAAACTAACTTTTCTTCCCCACCCAGAGATGGCTTTTCTAATACAGTTTAATCAAAGGAACTGAAAAAAAAAAAAAAAAAGGTCTGGGGTCCGAACTTATCTCCAGTGAGGTGGCCCGAGAAGAGGCCAGAGAGGTCGGCTGCTTGGGTGGCTGACGTTGGTGTCCCTGAGCATATGGTGGAGGCAAATCGTGGCCGAGGTCCTCCAGGTCTCCTACCAGGATGGGTGGGCCCAAGGCCCCTTTTACTGGCCCTCTAGAGTCCCTAGTTAGCTTTCCTCTCTTTCCTTTCTTTGCTACTAGCACATGTGAAATGGGACCCCTAAGCCAACTCGGGGGGTTCAGTACTAGTTGTAACCAAGTATCAATATAGGGGAATTGGTCGGGGTGACCTGGATTCCCTGTCACTACCGTCCACACTGCCCGAGTGATATCCTCATCTAGGGTGCCCTCTATTGGCCACTCCACTCCAAAGTAGGCCATTCTGATTCACACAGTGCCCTCAGCATGGGGGCCGTCATCTTGACCCCATAGTCCCCAGTAAATCCTTTCTTAAAGTTCTTAATCATGATCTCTAAGAGTGTGTGTTTTCCCTGACTTTCACCCATAGTTCCTGAGGTCTGGCTTTCACTGGGGTGCCTCAACACAAAGAGAAAGACAACTTCTGCTTCCTTTATCTCCAGCCAGTCCTCTTGTGAGGATATTTCAGGCCCCTCGTAGAATCAGCAGGCTGGTGATCCCAGTTATCACGTTCATGCTGCCCTAACCAGTATGAGGTGGCCCTGGAACCTTGGATCAGAACTCAACACTCACTTCCGCCTTATGGAGGGGAGGTCGGACCCCACTCCGCTCTGTGTCTCTCTCATTTACACTTCACGCATTCCCAAACCTAGTGGGGCTCGCTTTCTCAGGGAGTTTCTCGAGGAGTCCACGGGGTCCATCAGGGCCTCCTTCTGTTCAGTGGAATGGGTCTAAGGCCTGGGGCTCCCTACTGTGGTTCAGATGTCTGCCTGCCGTTGAGCCTTCTTCCTGTCCTGGTCTGAGCCCAGACTGGGTATTTCCTGCGGAGCCTCCCATTGTCATGGTGAGACTCCCACTTGGAGGCAATGGCAGGCCTCCAGAGCCCTCTCAGTGGCAAGTGTCACCTGGGGTGGAACCCGGGACCCCCATGGTGCAGCCTAGGGGCAGGCAAGGCGTCCTGGGTCATGTCAACCAAAATCACTCCTGGCTCTCTGGCTAAAATGTTGCAGGAGGAGAAGGAGCCTTCTCCTAATGACTGACCCAGAGACTAGGCGAGGGAAAAGATAAGTGTTTATTCACTGGTGAGGTTCAGAGGACAGGGTCCAAATTCTGTGCCCCAAACAAAGACTGTAACAGTCCTTTATACATTTTTTAGGAAGGATGAGGGGCACAGTTACAATGTAGTTATCTCTATCCCTAGTGGGGGCAGGATCTTGAGCAGGCAGTGGTCAGGCATGCACGTCCGCCTTGCATTCTTATCTTTCCGGTGCAGGCCTGTTCTTTGTAAGTAAGTTAAAGCAGTCATAAAGCAAGTTAGCAGTTTTACAACCTTAGTTTCTGGTACAGAGTTCCCATAGAATTTCTACCTGTTTTCTTTCTTTTCTGTTTCACAGGAGCTAGGGATCCCTACCACACAGCTACTTGGGAGGCTGAGGCAGAAGGATCCCTTGAGCCCAGGAGTGTGAGGTTGCAGTGAGCTATGATGATTCCACTGCACTCTATCCTAGTCTGAACAATCATGGTGAAGAATAAATGAAATAATGAGTAAATGGCACCACCATCCATTGAATTGTGCAGATCCCAAACCAGAAGTCATCCTTGATTCAGCTCTGTCCTTCACTGATCCACAATCCAATTCTTCAACAAATCCTCTTGGCTCTACCTTTAGAATAGATCCCAAATTCATCCATTTGTCTCCATCTCCATTGCTACCACCCTGAGCCAAGCCACCATTATCTCTCTTCTGAACCACTTCCTAAATGATGTCTCTGTGTTTATTTTTGCCCTTCTATAACCAGTTCTTCACTGAGCAGCCAGATGGATATCTTTGAAATATAAATATCTTTAAAATATAAATCTGATCATGATCTCACTCCCTTGTTTTCTAGGGGCATTGATGGAATCCTAACTCTTTATCATTACTTATAATGCCCGGCACGGTCTGACCCCTACTGCCTCTTCCACATTTCTCTATGCTGTACCTACACTGGCCTGGTTTCCATTCCAGAAACACTGCAGGCATTTGGGCCTTTGCACTGAAATGCTTTTCTTTCACAGAAAGACAATAGCAGAATGGTTAGGACCAAGAACTGTAGAGTAAAATTGGTTTCAAATCTGTTTGCTACTTACCAGCTTTTTAACATGGGCAAGTTACTTAATTGCTGTGCCTCAGTTTCTTCCTCTTGAAAATGGGGGATAAAAATAGTACCTACCTCATAGGGTTGTTTTAAGTGCATTAATACATCTCAAATGTTTATAACAGTGCCTGGCATAGAAAATATTATATAAATGTTTGCTATTACCTTTTTTCTTTACATGCCTCATTCCTGTTCATCATTCGTCTCACCTCAATTGTCAACTCCTCAGACAAGTCTTTCCTCATCACCCTATCTAAAGTAGTCCTCTCCCAAAGTCTCTATTATATTACTGTTTCATTGGTGTTTTATTGTCCATGTGGCATTTGATATTATCTGAAATTTTTTTTTAATGAAAACTCTGCATGAGTAAGAATCTTGTCTCTCTGGTTCACTGTTGTATCCACTGAGCCTAGAATAGAGCTTGGTGTATAACCAAAACAAAGCCTCAGAAATTGTGATGAAGAAATGAATGAATAAAAATACACAATATTGTATATCTGGAACATATAAGGACAGGTTACTAAGTGGTAATATACCAATATTGTGCGTCAGTCACTCTGGTAATTGTTAGGGATGCAGATGTGAAGAAGACAGCATCCCTTAAGTTTACTTGAATAGAGAAAACAGACACAAATAATTGGGAAAATTGCTAAACGGAAAGGTGTGTCCAGAATGCAATCTGGGCTCCAAGGAAGCCGAGGTCAGCCACCTGAGGGTTGGGGAGGCTGGAGCAGGCTTCAGAGAAGAGCTGACTAATGTAATTATTGGGAATGAAAGGAAAAAAAAGAGAAGAGCTGACTTGGATGAGTAGCAGGAACCTGCTGGTTGCAGCCAGTGGCCTTGTGTGGCAGCAATGCTGGGAAGAAGCGGGCAATGAGATGTGGAATTGATAATGGGACAGGAAAGAATGGGAATGGTAGTACCCTCCTGATTGCTTCTCCTCTTCTGCAGGAATTTTTCACAGACAACCTATGGGACACACTCCCTAACTCATGGCAGGAAGCGTTGGATGGACTGAACCCACCACAGCTGGCTACACTGCTGCTGGGGAAGCCTGGGGAAGGGGAGGTGGTAAGGTATGGGCTAGGGGGGCCCTGTGCTGGGGAACTCCAGGCACTGAGCCTGCAGCAAGCTATTGCTCAGAGTCTTACAAGGTCTTCCTGGGCCCCGGGTTGTAAACTGGTGTGTTCAGGATGCGATGGGACTGTTCACTAGAGGCCCCGGGCCGGACTGTCTCAGGTACAGGTCAGTGTGGCCACTCACCCTGCTGGCCCTGAAGTCCACGGCCTATGCCCTGGCCTTTACCCGGACGCCTGGCTTTCATACCCCCTCGGAGTTCCTGGAGAACCCCAGCCAGAGCTCCCGACTAACAGCTCCTTTCCGGAAACATGTCAGGCCCAAGAAGCAGCATGAGATCCGGAGGCTGGGAGAGGTGAGGCAATGACTGGAGGTGGTGTCTGAGAGCCTAGGGACCTTTTAAGCTTGTGGGTTGTGAATATTTGTGCCCCTTACATCACATGCAGGACCAAAGGCCCTAGAGGGTCACATACCTTGGCAGACACTATAATCATGTGCCGATGCTGGGGTTTCTTAAAAATCCTTTTGTGGGCCGGGCGTGGTGGCTCACGCCTGTAATCCTAGCTCTCTGGAAGGCCGAGGTGGGTGGATTGCTCGAGGTCAGGAGTTCGAAACCAGCCTGAGCAAGAGTGAGACCCAGTCTCTACTATAAATAGAAATAAATTAATTGGCTAACTAACATATCTAGAAAAAAAAAATTAGCCAAGCATGGTGGCACATTCCTGTAGTCCCAGCTACTCGGGAGGCTGAGGCAGGAGGATTGCTTGAGCCCAGGAGTTTGAGGTTGCTGTGAGCTAGGCTTATGCCAAGGCACTCACTCTAGCCTGAGCAACAAAGTGATACTCTGTCTCAAAAAAAAAAAAAAAAAAAAATCCTTTTGTGGGGTTGGGTGGCAATTAAATCTGTGTCATGACCCTATTCCTGTTCTCACATCTCCATAGTCTGCTCATGGCTTCACAACAGGGCTCTGTGGGGGAGATTCAGTCACTGACCTGAAGAGCAAAGACAGTGGCCTAAAACCTGGGGTCAGCACCCACCCTTATCCCCATTTGGTTTCCACATCTGGGGCATCTTCTGTCCATCTTCTGTTGTCTTCAGCTCCATTAGCCTCATAATGGGTGATTGCCCCAGGCATCAAGAACCAGTGGCCAGGAGACCTTTGTTCCCTTCTCTTTCAGTTGGTGAAGAAGCTGAGTAACCTCATAGGCTGTACCCAGGTTGTGGACGTGGGCTCAGGCCAGGTGAGCCAGACCCCTAACATGCTGTTTATTTGAGTCATGGGGATAAAACAGTGGGAGGTCAGGTTATCAGGCCACAGGCCCAGGGAGGCAGGTGCTGAAAAGTGGAGGAACCAGGCAGGCTAGAACTTAAGCCTTTTATGAGACACCCAGGTGCCCAGGCCACTGACAAGGAGGGTGACAGTGGGTAGGGCACTGAACAGAGCTGACTCCGTCTTTCCTATCATGACTCCAGGGTCATCTCTCCCGCTTCATGTCTCTGGGGCTGGGGCTGATGGTGAAGAGCATTGAGGGGGATCAGAGACTGGTGGAGAGAGCCAAGCGTCTGGACCAGGAGCTCCTGCAGGCTCTGAAGAAGGAGGAGAGGAGGAACCCACAGGTAGGCCGCCCTTCCTGCAGCCTGCACTGCAGGAGCAGGCTCTGCATGGCTGGAGTTGGGCAGAGGTTGAATTCCCTCTTTATAGTGTCTTAGCTTAAGATGATGTGGTCCCCATTTCTGTTACCTCTTTCCCAAGGTTCCCCACTTCGCCAGTGCTTCCCCACATCTCAAAGGCACTTTCTAGTTACAAAGTGCATTCCACACTGATGTGTACTTCTTACAACTTGGGAAGTGGCCAGTCAGATATTAAAGTCATTGCAAATAAGAAAACTGGGCCAGGCATGGTGGCTCATGCCCGTAATCCTAGCACTCTGGGAGGCCAAGGCGGGTGGATCGCTCAAGGTCAGGAGTTCAAAACCAGCCTGAGCAAGAGCAAGAACCCATCTCTACTAAAAATAGAAAGAAATTAATTGGCCAACTAAAAATATATAGAAAAAGTTAGCTGGGCATGGTGACGCGTGCCTGTAGTCCCAGCTACTTGGGAGGCTGAGGCAGCAGGATCGCTTGAGCCCAGGAGTTTGAGGTTGCTGTGAGCTAGGCTGACGCTACGGCACTCACTCTAGCCTGGGCAACAAGCGAGACTCTGTCTCAAAAAAAAAAAAAAAAAAGTTTTTGTATAACATAGCATTGGAAGGCAAAAAAATTTTTTTAGGGACAGGGTCTTGCTGTGTCACCCAGGGTGGAGTGCAGTGGCGTGATCATAGCTCACTGCAGCCTTGAAATCCTGGGCTCAAGTGATTTTCCTGCCTCAGCCTCGTGAGTAGCTGGGACTACAGGTGTGTACCCCCATTCCCAGCTAATTTAAAAAAAAATTTTTTTTAGAGAACAGGTCTTGCTATTATATTGTCCAGGCTGGCCTCAGGCAATCCTCCTGCCTCAGCCTGGCAAAGCACTGGGATTACAGGCATGAGGCACTCAGCCTGGCTTACAAAAATTTATTTAAGAGGGAGTTGTCCCTCTTTTATCAGGAGACCATCAAAGAAATATAAATTTTTTTAAATGCTAAAAATATGGCAAAACAATTGGATGGCAGATTAATTTTTAGATTGATTTGCTATTAGCCCATAGCTAGAGAAATATTTAAAAACACATGAGGTTCAGGTGTCAGTAGCGCCAAAAAAAAAAAGAAATGAGATGTTAAATATTTTTAAAAAACGCATATGAGGGTAGAAAACCAAGCAAAGTTGGAATCAAATTAGGAACAGGCAAAGTTTAAGTGGGAGGTGGAGGTTCCTAAAACCAACTGAGTGCTGTCTGTGGCTTATCCCACAGATACGTGCAGCGGGGGCTACAGCGTGTGGGGCTAGACCCCCAGCTACCACTGAATCTGGCTGCTCTCCAGGCCCACCAGGCCCAGGAGAACCGTGTGGTGGCCTTCTTCAGCCTGGCCCTACTGCTGGCCCCACTGGTGGAGACATTGATTCTATTGGACCGGCTGCTCTACCTTCAGGAGCAAGGTAAGGATAACCTATAGCAGAGACTCAGGGCCAGAAAGGCTAGAGTTCTAGGGCTCTTCCTTCAAGTCCCAGCCCCCACATCTGCTGTGCCTGGTTCATCTCTGTTGTGATTCTTGGACCCCTGCTTTAGAGTCACCAGTGGGGTGGGAGTAGGCAATTTGTAAAAAAGTATAGATTCTCAGCCGGGTGCGGTGGCTCATGCCTGTAATCCTAGCACTCTGGGAGGCCGAGGCGGGCGGATTGCTCATCGTCAGGAGTTCGAAACCAGCCTGAGCAAGAGCGAGACCCCCGTCTCTACTATAAGTAGAAAGAAATTTAATTGGCCAACTAATATATATAGAAAAAAAAAATCAGTGGGTCATGGTGGCGCATGCCTGTCGTCCCAGCTACTCGGGAGGCTGAGGCAGTAGGATCGCTTCAACCCAGAAGTTTGAGGTTGCTGTGAGCTAGGCTGACGCCACGGCACTCACTCTAGCCTGGGCAACAAAGTGAGACTCTGTCTCAAAAAAAAAAGTATAGATTCTCACCAAATCAGCCTCTGCTGGTGGATCCCTAAGGTGCATTTTAAGCGTGTTTCCCAGGTACTGAGAAGGTCTAATATGTGAGGACTGCCTCCCAAGTCAGTCCCAAGTCTTCCTCATGGACAGCAGGGTCTCGTTAGTTCCCCTAGAGCTTCCCCCATGGGGAAAAGGGGGTATACCTACAGGCTATGTAAGAAGTAGCTGAGTGAGAGTTTGGTTCATATCTTCCCTTCTGATTAGCCTTGCTTTTCTCCTAGGCTTCCATGCTGAGCTCCTGCCCATCTTTAGCCCTGAACTCTCTCCCAGAAACCTGGTTCTGGTGGCTACCAAGATGCCCCTGGGTCAGGCCTTCTCTGCTCTGGAGACTGAAGATAGCTGACACAGCCTGAGTAAGAGCACATCTCAGACCCCATCTGAAACCACCCAGATACCATAGTGTAGCACAGTACACCTTACCCAGAGAACCAGCATCCTGCATCCTCCAGAATCCTGGTTCCCCACAAGCCTTCAGTGTCATACCTTTTCCCTCCATGTGGTATGTAATATTGTATAAAGTTTTATTTTTTATTTATCAAAAAACAGAAATCTTTATTTCCCTTCTATTTCTATAAGGAGAGAAAAGGAGACTGCACCTTCCCTGTGGTGAAGGTGCTGCAGAGGTGCTAGTTACCTCTGTCACACTCTGGTCCCCACTGCCCTCCCTAACAGGCAGCCTTCTGTTACTCAGAGGTCTCCATGGAGAGAACCTCTCGCTCTCCCTTTGGCCTCCATCCTGGATTTGCAGGCCCTGTCCTTGGGAGGGCCACCATAAGGCGAGTTAAATTCCATCCAGATTCTATCATAACATCAGGAATGGGTATACTGGGATTAGGGGTGCCATTCTACTAGAGACAGCAGCTGCACACAGGAGGACTCATGGCTCTTTATTGGCATCTGAAGAAGAGGTGCCCCAGCCTTCAACACTAAGACAGAAATAGGGGAGACGCTGCTCTCCCCAGGCTCAATACCAATAGACTTTCTTGTGTCTCCGGTTCTCCTGGATCCCCATCGCCTCCATCACCTCCTCCTGCAGTGTCTTTAGACGGGGCACATAGGTTCTTTCTAGAGCATCTTCTACTGATGTGTCTTTGGGGCCATCTGTTGAGCCAGAGGAAAGGAGATGGGCGGAAGGGCTTGCCAACTTGGCTTAACATCCCTTACTTTCCTCCTACCCACCCCCCATCTTCCTGCCCCTCACCCAGCCTTACCAATCCATGCTTCAGGGACGATGCCATCGGCTCTGGGAAATTCAGGTTTGGGGATTATCCTCCCTGATCTCATGGAGACTCGTACCCTCTCTCCTGCCTCAGTAAATCTCCACTCGATCTCAGTGGGTTTCCTGGTGGATAGAAGAGGTGAGCCTGACCTGGGAGCCAGGTACCCTGCCACCCTCCAACCCAAAAGTAGTCAATGGTTGAAAACACCAAGGTTACCACTTTGTTTCTCTACTTCTGTATTGGGGGTACCCACAGGGAGTCGTGTCCATGAGATAGCCCCTCAATTTAAGGAGCATCCAACCCACCATTCCCATTGGACAATACCTTCATGGATTCAGAGGGTGAGAGACCCTCTGACCAGAGCCCCATGTGCTTGCCTGTCCACAGGATCCACAAGTTTGACTTGGTTATGGAGCAAGGGGGCTTCACTAGGGATCATGGTTCCCCGGTAATCCTTGGTCCTGCCAATGTAGCGGTAATGCTGTCCGAGAAAGGGGGAATATCAGAAAGCAAGGGGTTGAGAAGAGGATTTGCCCATGCTACTCAGCATATTCAGCCCAAGTTGAAAAGTAGAGAGTCCAGTAGTACCACTAGCCCCTCAGCCAGTCTCCCTGCCCTGTGCTGCTCTTAATGGAGAAGGACAGATGGGACAGGCTTCCCCAGCACCCTCATCTTCTCTCTTCACTTACTGTGTTCAGCCCTTCCAGGACTACCCAGTTTCGCTGCCGGATAACTTGAACCACTTTGCCCTGCTTGCCGGCATCCTTGCCTTCTAGGATCTCCACCTGTGGGAAGACATGAGGGTCAGGAAGGAGGATCCTTGCCCCGGAGCCTCCCCATCACTCTGCCCCGTCTGAGGCTCTCACCATGTCTCCACAAAACAGATGCCAGTCTTCATCTGAGATGGGTTCCACAGCCACTGGGCGCCGTCTGGTCCATGGGCGATTCCTCTTCTTGTCTGCCATGGAACCTGGGCGGCTCATCCCATAGCGGTAATGCGGGGGCAGAGTGACTTTGGATGCCAAGGCCAGCAGGGCAGAGAGACGCATGGCTGAAGGCTGTGAGAAACCCCTTTGCCAGCAAAAGGCTTAGAAACCTTCCTCGTCAGCTTTGGGGTAGAATGGGGCAAAGAAGCAAGGGAAGGAACCTTTTTAAAGCATTTACTCTGTTGCTCAAAGGAACTCATCTCATTGAACCTTCACAAGATGATATTATCTTTATAGATGAGGAAATAGGTTAAGTAACTTGCTCAGGGTCACAGAGCTACTATGTGGAAGACTCAGCATTTAAACCCACATATATCTGACTTTAAAGTCCAAAAAATTCATTAAGGCCAGGGGCCATATTATCTAGCTCACTCTTGAATCCAGCAGATCCCATTAGAGCTTGGCACATAGTAGGTACCCAATAAATAATTATTAAATTAATGTACAAACAGGATAGGAAGAAAACATAATGGAACACACACTGGCATAGGGCCAAAAGGCAGGCAGTTACAGGGTGAAATGAACAAATAGTAGAGATAAAAATGGGTTAAAATGTCCCCATCCCACTTCCAATTCCTATTCTCAGGAAATAACCACTTTTCCCTAAGTTAGCTTCTTTTCTAAAGGAAAAGAAGGGCCAAAGTAGGATTATTGGGTCATAAATTTCCCAACCAAGTATGTGCTCTAAGCCTCTCAATTCTGGATGACATACTAAATTAATGGGGTAGCAAATGAACTGAGGGCAAAATAGTTAAGTTCTTCAGTTTACTGAGCAATTGTTACTTGCCAGGTGCCAGGATAAATACTTTCCTGTATCATCTCACTTAAGCCTAAGGACAACTGATGAAGAAGTTATCATTAATCTCATCTTATAGGTAAGAAATGAACCCTAACTTCAAAGACAAATAAAGTATACTATAATGGCAAAAAAAAAACTTGGACTGGGAAGTCAGATGACCTGGGTCTGATCCCTATTCGACCATCATCTTTCTGTGTGACACTAGGCAACTTACTTAACTTCTGAGCTTCAGTTTCATTAGCCATGAAATTTTACAGGGCTGTAGGTGTCATTTAAATTATGTTTAATAGTCTAACAAGCCCAGGTACACAATAATATAAATAGTATTATTACTTTTGGGTAAATTAAAAATATATATTCTGGCACAAGCATAAATATATTATGGGAAAGAAACAAGAAAATAAAGTACTTGTTTTGGAGAAGAGGAACTGTTTGGAAGGGCTACTTTCCATTTTGTTCCTGTCCATAACGTTTGCACTTCTTAACCATATGCATTTAAAAAAATATCAATGGGTTTATCTGAACAGTGAGATATGGGTCATTTTTTTCTTCTTTAGACTTCTCAGTATGAAGAAAAAAAAAAAGCCTAATGTTATTTTCAGTTAATGCTGATTGAATATAAGGGCCTCGATGTTCCTATACAGGTTCAACAAATAGTTAGGGAACATTACCATGCCATTTTTGTCTTCACATTGTCCACTGAGGGAGATTGCCCCGTGTAAGCATCATAAGGTCCCTTTTACAGACAAGAAAACCAAGGCTCTAGGGGCTGGAGTGACTTGCCTTAGCTTGATAGAAATAGGGCCAATCTTGAGACTGAAGCCTCCTGCGTGATTACTGCAAGTAGTCACTTAACCCCACTCATTCTAGGTTTGAGCCAGCCCAGACTGAGCAGCTGGGACCCCCCCATAGTTCTTTCTTTTCCTCTCCTCCCTAATCTGGAGGCTGGTGCCCCTTTTGCAGTGGGGCTTTCACTGCGTGTTCTGGAGGTGCCGTGCAAGGTAGTGGGGTCGAACATCTATCCCTCAGGTCAAAACTGCAAATGGGCTTTCTCCATTAGCCTCATCCCGGGCGTGAACCCCGACCCCAGACACCGCTAGGCCCCAGCGGTCTTCAGCACCCACCCGATCCAACTTTTCGGTGCAGGGAAATCCCGAGGATGCGACTGAGCCACAGCCAGGGAAAATGATGGGTCCTTCCCGCACCTGCCTCCCGGACGAGCCCCGGAACTGCAACACCTCAGGGCCCCGCGGCCCTCACCTCCGCCTTCCGCAGCACAGCGGGGTCGCCGCCTGTCACCTTGGCACGTGGGACCTCAGCCCCGCTGGTCGATTTTCTGGGAAATGTAGTCCATCTGTAAAGCGGAAGCTCAGCAATGAAGCTAATCTCTCAGCATTCTGGGAGTTGTAGTCCAGTGATCAGAAATAAGCTGGAAACAGGAAATTTGGCCGGGACAGGAAATCAAAGACGCGGAGAATACCGTGGAGCATGTCGGGAATTGAAAGGCAAGCTGGTTAGGCTGACGCGCCTGGCATATTCCTGCGCATGCTCTGCGTGGAGGCCGCTGGGAATTGTAGTTTCTAGAGACGATAGCTCCATTTTCTAGGTGATAGTGGCTTCCTGTTTTAGGCAAAGAGCCTCCTCCCTTTCCAGGCAAGACTATAGCCAGTAACTGTCCCCGTCCCTCTCTGCAGGAGAGGTTAAGGCAGATTCAAAAACTGCCATAGGCTTTCCAGAGAAAGGGACAAAACGGGGCCTTTCCAATGGTATTAGATGATCTAGTCACAAAATGTCAGAATCCGGAAGGAACCTCAGAGATGATCTAATCCAGTCATTCCACTTAACAGTGGAGTATTGGGAGAATTCCATCTATTAACCTCCTCCCCCTACTACCCCATCACCAGTGAAAACTGACAGGCACCCCTAGCATTAGCAAGGAGAAAGGATTATTCTCTCTATTCTTTGGATCACTCTTTGGGGTCAGAATTGTTTCTACAAACAGCCCAAACACTCCCACCTTCCATGGCCATCGCAGGCTATGGCACCCTCCCCCACTTCTTGTGTGTGTGTGGGTAACCTGTATTAAACAGTGGCTGGGCAGGAGGGGTAGAATAAATGGTGTGGTTTATTCTAGGAATCTGCCCACATGTAGAATTTTGGATTTCCAATAAGCTGGGAATGGAGGCTGGCACCCCCTACCTCAAACTAAGATGATCTGGAAACCACTTGCATTCCCTTCCCCCACTCCCTCGCTTCAGTTAGCTAACACACCCCCCAAAGAATCAGTCAGAATCCAATATAGTAATCAACGGGTTTTATTTTCCTAGAACTGAAATCGTCTACTGTTCTCAGAGCTAAACTTCCAAAGCTACAGTCAGCAATTTTTCATCAGAGCCCGAGGGAGAGGGGCTAGGGTAAAAGAGACAAGAGACAAAGAGAGGCATAGAGAGACCACTAGGAAGAAGGTGGGAGAGGGCACTTACTTCCCTCTGTCCTCTCAGCAGGTTACAAATCAGATCTGGTGACAACACTGAGGGGACCAGGTGGGGGTATGTGAATGGAAAATGACACTGGAAGAAACACCAAAGCCCCAGCTACAAAAAGAAAGTAAGTCATCAAGCCCCAAACAGAAGGGGAGCCTCCCAGTGCACCTCAGAAATGGGGGCAATGGTGGGGAAGAATGGTGAGCACACAAAGGGTTAGGGATCTTTAAAATTTTTTTTTGTAATTTTCTTTTATTAAAAACATTTCCTAAAAAATGTGTTTTTTCCTTTATGTCTGGGTGATATATATGACTAATCTGGCCTTGAGCACTGTGGGGAGAGGGAAAGGGCAGCTAGAGGTCTCCCCAGGGCATCTTATCTCTGGCTCCAGAAATCCAAAGGGGCACAGATACTGCTAAACACTCCTACCCAAATGGGTAAGCCAACCTTTTTAGATCTCAGGCCCTTGGCCCAAACTTGGAAGCCCCAAAATCTTTTGATGATAAACTACAACTCCCAGAACTCCTGGGGTCAGCAAAAGGAAGAATAGGTGTTGTCAATCATGGAGAATTTACAGAAGGGAGCCCCTCCCCCATAAGCGTCCCATCCCACTTTCCCTGAATCGAGGCAGCTGGGATAATAGGTGTGGGAAAGGACAGGAGCTCAAGAAGATGCTGCCCTCCTGTGCCACCCCCATACTTGAGGATTGCCCCTCCCAGGCATAAGAAGCCCATCCTGCTGTTTATGTTTATCCCTTCCACTCCTACCTCTGATCCCAACCCAGAGGTCCAGGATGCCTGAGGGAGGGGGAGAAGGGCTCAGGAGGTGGAAACAGCTGATCTCGGCCCCAAAAGAAGCCCTAGAAAACAGCTCCCAAGCAGGAACACAATGGCCTGATCTCATCCCAGGGAGCAGAAGACATGGCCCTGACTCAGATCACAGGGATGTAGGGACCTAGAGGTGAGAGCCAGGTGGCCTACCCCATCCAGGTCAATCTCCAGGGGATGATGGACTTGAGGTGGGGAAAGTGAGTGGAAGAGGAGAGCGGGTTGGGATGGGAAAGGGGTTCCCAGTTTGCAGGCCATGGCCAGTTTCCCCAGTAGCACCCAGACAGCAGCAGGAACGGGGTGGGGGCTCCTCTTGAAACATTGGTGGCTACAGGCTGCAGGGGAGGGTTGGAGGAGAGAAGGGTTAATGGTGTGGCCTTGGCTTGGCCTTGCCCCAGCCAGTGCCGGTCTCCTGGGAGAGCCCACCCTGCCTCCCAAGAGGCTGACCACTGCAGGCCCTTCTCCTCCTCTCCACAAGTGGCCGGGCCCTCTCAGCCCAGCTGCCAAGACTGCAGGGGGCTCACTCACCTCTCATGATCTCTGACGCCTGGAGCCTCAGCATCTTCCTTAGCAGCCTCTTCCTCTTCTTCCTCTTCTTCCTCCTGAGGAGGCCCCCGGCCAGAGCCAGGCTCAGAGGGGGTGCTATTCTTCTCCACCTCCACAGGGAGGGGCCTCTCACTCTCCAAGCTGGCTACCTCCTTCTCCTCCCCTTCAGGGTCTTCTGTCTCCTTGGGACGTTTAGGGGAGTCCTGGGCAGGATTGTCAGAGACAAGGTGGGCTGAGGCCAGAGACGGAAAACACCAGCCACCACCCGTGCCCCCTACTCCTCAGAGGCTCCCTCCTGGGCTGACACCCACAGCCCTTCCCCAGCCCTGTACTGGCTAAAATGCCTTCTGTGTTCCATTTGCTCAGCTGGGGACCCCCCCCCAGGCTTGGGGGTTGGTTTTTTTTCGGCCCAAGGCTTCCTTGAATTGGGGGCTTGGGGCCACCCTGCTGAGGATGCTCCAGTGGCCCAGGCAGGCAGCAGTTACCTCTAGCAGGTCCCCTGCTCTCCTCTTCAGTGCCCCCTTCTCGTTCTTCTCTTTGGCTGGCTCATCGATGACCAGCTTCCCTTCCTCATCACTGCTACCCTCTGCATTCCCCTTCTTATCACCGTCACCCTCTGTGGCTTCAGGCTCTGGCTCCGGCTCTTCCACACAGCTCTTTTTCTGGGAGGACTGCAGCAGAGATATCAGAGGTTGAGTGGCACCAGTGGCCACTAGGGCGGGCCCCTTCCCCAGACCCCTCCCTCGGCCACTCACTCCTTCCTTTTCCCACCTCTCCCCCACCCCCACCCAGGTGCCCAGTCTCACGAGTGATTTGAGACCCACCTCTGTCGGATTAGCCCCGGGGTAAACCCACTGGCCGGGCAGGCAGGGCTCTGTGCAGGAGGGGGGAGGGCTGGAGCAGGAGGCAAAACCTCGGGTCAACTTCTCCCAAAGGGAGCTGGGACCCTTTCCCCGCCAACCCCCGCCCCCCACCCTCCCGCCTTGTCCTGCCCGGCTCACAAGCACCTCCTCCTGGAAGCCTTCGTGGAAAGAGTTAAGGCCATGTCCTATACTCACACTGGGCCCAACAAAGGCCTGTCTCCACTTACCGCCTCCATCCTGTGCTTGCCCCCAGGCTGCTAACAGATGGCCCTAACCACAACTACATTACATACCCCAACCCCATCTCCTCTTGCAGGAAGCCCCCCTCCCCTCCACCCCGATAGCTCCTACCCTGAAAGCCCTGGAATTTCTGAAGACTAAGTATCATCTGTGGGCCCAGGGTTTCCAAAGCCCATGGCCACACCTGCTTTCCAGGGGGTCTTTGGGGCAGATGGTGGCTCACCTGGTAGCCAGAAGCCTTGACGGTAGGGTTGTTCTCGATCTCCCATAGCCCCTCGCTGAACCCTTTCCTCTTGTTGGGCTTGCCAAACTTCTCCTTGGATTCCTCGTAAGGGAAGAGGTCTTTGGGGCCCAGGAATGCCCTGGTGAAAGATGGGAGACTGTGCTCTCAAGCCCCTCACTGCCCCTGAGCTGCACAGCCCGACACAAAAGGGGCACCATCACCACCTCTCTTTCCCCGAAGCAGTCCTCCCATGGCCCTCCCAACCTATGCCCCTCTGGCCTTTACTCACGTCTCGTGGGTCCCGAAAAAAAAGACTTGGTATTTGTTGGCTGTTGATTTCACGGCAGCTTCAGGCATCTCGTCAATCTGGGGGTGAGATGAGGGAAGTGAGCGTGAGCAGGAGTCCTGAGGTCTCAAGTTTGAGGCAGAGGCACAGACCTCTACGCCACATTTGTATAAAACCAGACTGAGAGAGACCCATGAGATTAGCGAGGTGGCTTTTGGACCATTTTTAGCAGTGGAACTTTGTTCAAATGAAGTCAAACGTGGAAACCAAACAGAAACCCAGGAGTCTCTCCCTCTCCTTCACCAACCAGACAGCATATATACTGTCCCCAACATGTCCAGGTCCTAGCTACAAAGCCCCTTATCTTTCCTATCACCGGAGTTCAACTACTGTCCTCTCTTGCCTGGACTAAAACCACAGCCTCTACAATACCTATCCTCCCAGGCTCCATTTGTGCCCCATGACACAGAATGGTCCTTTCCAAATGCTCATCTGAGCATTTCGTCTTTTTGCCTCAAACTTTCTAATTCATTTTCAGGACTCCAGGGCCCACCTCATAATGGCAAGCTCTGAATCCCAGTTCTGCCACCATTTTTATGATCTTAGGCAACTTATTAAACCTCTCTTTGTCTCAGTTTCCTCACCTGTAAAAGAGAGATGGTCATAGTGCTTACGCCATAGTGTTGAGAATGAAATGAGCACATTGTGGATGTAGTATGTTCTACCTATGCCATCATCAGCCTCTCCCAGGACACTGCCCTTCCTTTCTGCTCCCACCATGCTGTCCTTTCAGTCTCTCACATTCACTAATTCCTGACCATCTTTCCAACCTCAGCTCTATCACACTTATTTCAGAAAGCTTGCCTCTCACTCCTGACCCGGTGGGCTCTTTAGGTAAAACTCTCTCCTAACACTTTTTTTTTTTTTGAGACACAGACTCGCTCTGTTGTCCAGGCTAGAGTGCTGTGGCATCAGCCTAGCTCACAGCAACCTCAAACTCCTG